GCCTGTGCTTGTTCGGCCCTTCATCTATAATACCATGAAAATACCAGTGAACGCAGTAAATTAAATCTGATTTCAGTAAAAAGAGGCACCCAAATGTCTTACCATATCCATGCCACGATATCGCAAAGTTCGCATAAGCACAATAGCCTGAGGTGCTGCCACTTCATCAGTGCCTTCTTCACGTCCAATTTGTTCATCGCACGCAGCCAGAACTTCTTCACCCACAACGCCTGTCACGACACGATCCATGTTCGCTGAAATTGAGCTGACTCAAACAAACTTATTCTTGGGTAGATGAACTTGCCTGTTTCCATTTGCCACACATATACACTGCCATCATCGAGGCGTACAAGCATGAAGTCATCCAACGGTCTCCATTTCACCAGGGTAACAGGGTGAGGATGTCGTGACGCAAGCAGAGCGCATTTCATATCACGGATGTTCAGCAGTGAAACGCTATTGTCAGCGGCCACTGAGCAGATGCACTTGCTGATTTGTTTCTATAAAAAGAGGTCTGCGACAAAATCATGTAAGAATCTGACGTAAACTTACACTAGTGTTAGCTGGAGGAACAAGAAAGCGTAGTATAGGACCACCATGCACGGTGAACTTGTACAACTTGGCAGCAGTGTTGATATTCCAGACAATTACAGCAAAGTCATCAGCACCAGAAACCAAGAGTTGAGGGTCAAAACGTGGATGATGTTCAAAGGGATAGAAAAGATTACTGTAAAAAGAAGAAATAACGAAGCAAAGACTAAAAATAATAATCAAAACACTTACGTCACAGCCGCTTTATGCCCGTTCAGTCTTCGTATTGTGGGCTTTTCTAAGGATACATCAAGTAGCTGTCGCGATAACGTCTCGCAAGCATAAGTCATGACAATTAAGCCATCTGCTCTACCGATCAATAACTTCCCTTGACTGCTCACGAATAAGGAGCATGTCACGTCACCAGGGTCCTGACAGCAGGGAGAATAGGTTGTGAAGTAAATTCAGCGATGATACCATAAAACAAACCAGTACAGGCAAAGAAGACCGCTCATCATCGTTGAGACTATTCCAGATAGCAGCTAGACTTTCCTCGTGTGACGGTTCAAATTCTAAAAATTGCTCAGCAGAAATTTTCCACATCGGCAGCTCAACCTCGCAGTACAACGTAATTTAGAACACATGTAAAGGAGAAGAAAACAAAAGGAAGACATCAGAAATACTGTCGTAATACTCACTGAGTGGAAATTGTGAGATACTATGGTACCCGTTGAGAAAATCCTTGTCAAAATTAGGAATTCTCCAGACCATTAATTGTCCCGAATGACCTGCTCTTGCAACTTGAAACAGATTTGAATCGCCAGTCTGTCGCGCGAAGGTGAACGTTACATCATTTAGCCACTAAATTGTGAATTGTGAACAGAAGTTTGAGCAATTTTCAAAGGGAGAAAATGGACCAACCGAACGAGGATTCGCATGAGAAGTATCCAGCACAGCAA